TTTATGCCTATGGTTCTGACGGATCGCTAAACTCGAAACAGATATATGCAGCTAAGGGTATCATTAGCAGTACGGTCGGACGCGACTTACGTCACGACATGCATTTAGAATGTGTGTTAGGGTGTAAAACCATAATGTGTGACATGAATTCTGTTAGAAGTGATAGAAACAATGTACACGTATCTACCGTCAGAAAAGCCGGTCTCTGTAGTTTTGACGACAAACGCTACTTAAAAGAAAACGGTGAACATGGGCACACGGTCACAACAGAATAAAAAACGACATACAAGTCTTTTCATTTTTGTTTGATATATATTTATCTCATCATTATTGTGTACATACTTTGATCCCGGAATACTTACATTTCATATCTGTCAAGTCTATCAAGGTATTTACGTAAAACATACTGTTCAGGGTAGATAATCGTAATGTGTGCATTGTATGCTTAGAGAAGTTTGTTTTCAATTATTGTTACATGTAAATCGAAAAATAACCTTGTTATTGTAACACAGTAAATCCAGAATGTAAATTGCATGTTTTACAATTTTACAGTTTATCTTCGGTTTGCCGAAGTATGTCGAAACACAAGATTAAAATAGTGTTAGTTTATATATGGTCGTCGAAATGCAAGCTTAATTTAGATTAAAAATCGTTACATATTGTAAGAGTTACTTCCCTTACACATATGTCGACACAATTTCAGCACACATCTCAGTTAGTGTAATAAAATCCTGATTTATCATTCATTATTTTTGTTTTGATTCTTGTTACAAATTAAATATCTCTACTGATTAGCGAGTCAGTGACGAGTTCCAAATCTTCTACGAATTTGCAAAATATAACTTCGTTAAGATGTTTGTAAATACTTTTTTTTATTTGTTTACACACTTCTACTTTTTTTATTATGATACTCGATGTTTAATATGTTTGTCTACTTCATATCTTATGTATATTTGTTTTCTATATTTAGTTTTACCGTTGCAATATCTTCGACAAGAAACAGATAGCCAAAAAAGGTTAAACTCTACATATTTATTCCTAGGTATATGGTTATATGTCTTGGACAGTGGTCATTACTTTTCCCGTTTACCATACTGCGATCAGTGTATGATGTTCCACCAACACCAACTAACATGAGAGCTGACTGTTTGTTTTGTGACCTACCGGGCACTCTGGCCCATATACTGTTGTCGTGCAACACCGCTTTGACTTTAGCAAGATCTACATGAAGACAACAATACGTGAGCTAGCAAAAACGCTGGAGATTCAAAAAAAGAGAAACGAAACAACAGTCTTACTAGTAAGATCTGCTGAGTTGAGCGGCGATGAAGCGACAGCGCACGAAGGTGGTATACTGGACCGGAGATCTGAATGTAGAGTGCGGATTGACTTAGAATGGCATGGATTAACTTGGTCCTGTCTTTCATTGTCATATACTCCTGAAAATCTTCGAAAATATATAGTTTGTTGGAAGGAAGGAAGACGGAGAGAGGCATTGAAGTAGCATTCCATCGATAAAAGACCACGTTGTATTATTTCGGTGTTAGGCATAAAACATTCTAGAGATGCCGTGGACATATTGCATTTGTACTAACAACACTCTACACTCCTATAAAACTCAACGCTGATTACATTTCAGATTTACATAGTATGTCTGGGGACATTTTAAAATTCTAAACGGTCCTCATTGACAGATATTCAACCCTATCGTCGAAGGAGTGCGGGTACTTCGTGGAGTTTCGGGACCGAGTGCCCGTTGGTGCATGCAGTTCGGTTATACTTTCCTTTATTTATTGTCTTTCTCATTACCGGTGTTTGATACCATCTAGAAGTGGGACGGTTTACGATTCATAAGGCTCGGTTTTTCCCTCCTCTTCGGTTGTGTTTTGGTTCGATTCCAAATACACATGTATTGTTGATACAAGTGACATTTTAATCTTTACCAGAATGGCGAGAATCTATTAACAGCTAAACACGCTTAATGTGACTTTCAAGATGAAGAAGACATTGTATTAGTGGTCGAGGTAGCAAATTCTGGGCCGCAAAATTCAGGACCTACTTGGGGCAGTCGCCAGGAATTGACTGTAGGTCAGTTTTGTCCTGGAACTCCGGCTTTCCTCCACCAACCAAACATGACAAGTCCTTAAATAATACTGACTGTTAATGGGATGTTAAGTTAAACAAAACTAAGTACAGCTGTAGCTTCTGCAATACCATACACACTTCAAAGATTCGTTTTGTATACATAATTTTACCATGATGTGAGTAAATAGTAAGACAGAGATATGCCTTAGAACTCTCATTAAGATTTCAAAATATAATGACAAATAACAGGCACATATGTACGTTATTGAAAACAATATTATTTATGTAAAAGAACGATCATGAAGTAATTTGGTCTTCTCCTTGCACTAAATCAAACTATGAAGCTCAGTATGATATTTTATCACGATACAACTCAAAATTGGCAAACTTCAGATTGAAGAGACATTGGTAATTAGAGTTTAGATGTTCTATTTTTTAAATAATACTGCTAAATGGTACATTTGTAAGTTTATGTTCTGTTTCAAAAAAGATAAGACCGTTCACGTGGTCACTGTTGAGATAGGATCTTTGATCATCTACAAGACCTCCAGCAGTAAAGAAAATTCCTGCACTATCCACAGATGCTACAGGTATTGTTTGGTATCTCTTTGCAAAATCTGCAAGATGTGGACCTTTGTTTTCACTGATATGTCGCTATAACAGTGGATTTGGTTAATATGAGGTAGATGTTGTCTGTTTTAACTGTGAATTTCTTGGTCCATTAGAGATTCTTTGGAATTAGCTGACTGTTCCTTTGTCACAAAGACTTCTCAAAATAATTTTCAAGGGCCGTCTTTAATCTCCCCACCTCACCAAATGCAACACCACACAAACATCCCGCCGTAAATCTGTCTACTGCTTTCACAATTTGAGCCTTCCTAAATCTTCTGTACGAATTCTTCAGACAAACTCTTATATGGATTATTATGTGAAACTATCTCACTATGACACTGATATTTGTATTTTAGAAAATGAAGTGATTTACTACCTGGATTTGTGTAGCAGACCTTTCAATAAAGCATATCTTGTTACTGAGCTCGTTTCAGGTATTGTCTACAACATATTAATTTGTTTGTAATGTCTATTTCTGACGTATATTTCTCGATATACGATATTTACAAACTATTTAGAATAAATATGTAAAAACGAAAAAAGAAAATTATATAAAATATATCGTGTTTAATTTTCTCTCCTTCACTAGAGATATCTGGTACACAATATCTTCATTTTTATTTTATTTAAGTTATGAATTACGCAAGTCATCCAGAATATTACTGTCTTAGGGCTGTAAACAAAGAAACAAAAAAAAAAAAAAAAAAAAAAAAAAAACAAAAAAAAAAAAAAACAGAGAAACAAAATAAGCTGCTGTTTATCGATGGCCTAAAATGGGAACATATCACCACTCTCCCATGGCGGTTTTGAAGGTATGGTTGCAATGCAATATAAGTTTTTTCAATATATATATTCAATTCATTTACTTTTATTTACCTTTGCCCTTATATATCATATACCACATGATATAAACAGAACAAAAGTTATAGTATAAATATCAATTCTATTATATATGCTTCTTAAATGAGGTTTCCAAGGAAGTACAATTTGCTTGGTCGTGACAACATACATAAATTAAGTTTGAACAAACGTGGGTTTTGGTAATATTTTTTATTTAAAACGGCTACTGAATATTCATCGGATATATATCACTATGAACGAACAGGGTAAACACACATTCCTGTCGAGTGCCCCTCCCAGGATCTCCGAAATTACCTTCATCCTCGATTTCAATTGTTTACTCAGACCCATTTAAGTGAAGATGTGTATTTATTTATATAAAGATTGGTACATAAATTAATATTGAAGAGTGTCCATTTTGAAAATGCTTCGAGGGAAGATGATGATTCATCTTAATAATTTCGTTAACTTCGAGTTAGTTAGGTATATATGTATAATGATATTGTGCCGAAAGAAATGCAAAATGAATTTCATTTGTATGACAGGAACGAGGACCATTCTAGACATTAGAGTCATTAATTAAATGTATGCTATATATTGGTTACTTTTTCTATTACAATCCCTGGAAATGTACGTCCTTTGCATAAGCGCATTCTTGCAATTGTACTATTCTTTACGTTGTAGCTGCAAGATAATCTCCATTAAGAATACAGGTGATTGAGACAAAGCTATATTGCAGCAACGTGTGCAATTTTGGTCGCATACCTTTTCCCGGGGAATATATTTAGCAGTCAGCGAATGAAAAAAATAAACAAGGTATAGGGAATTACGTATGTAAATTAGGACAAGTTGTCCATCTGTCTGACACATATTCACTTTTTTTTGCAATTTACTGACCCAAATGTGGATAGTTATGAAAGAGACGACAGAATTGTTATGCGTTATACACGCCCGTTTAGGAAGTATATGTGCCTCATATTGTCATTTATAGTTAAATAGTGTAATCTGAGAAACGCAAAATAATCATATCCACCTAAATCTCTCATAGCCTAAAAAACGTTTACGATCAGACAATGTGAGTGAAATATGTAATGTCATTCATGAATATATTGCCGTCCTGTAGGATAATGCATTATACAGCTCAAGCAAAGAGTGATACTACGTTCAAAGGAGTATAAATTTTATAAAGACACTATCTAAAGCCTAAAATAGCAATAAAGCGTCGAGCTTTCACAGAAATATAAATTTAAGAAGTTCTTTGATCAATTCTATATGATAGAATGGAATCAAGACTAATAAAAATATTTTTTATGCAGTGTTAACCTAAGTATGGTACTTCAGTCCTTACTGTACTAGTTATGCACTGATTGACAAAAACCAAGTATGCAGCTGGTATTAGTATTATTCCGAAGAAAGTCCTATCTATCGATAAGACTTGTATCCATATTGAACACTTAATCTGATCAAACTGATTGTTCCTTCGTACGAATTTCATTAAAAGGTTTTTCTTCTTCATTTAAATCCTATAAAAGAAAAGAAAATTTGCTTATATTGACATCTTATTTCGTCAAATCTATGAATATGAGTTTTGTATTAATGTTTTCATTGTGAAAACTACTTTACATAGATATTCTGAACCCCTTTATGAAATCTTCATATATTGGACATAGAGTTTCATATTCTAAAAAATTATCACAAAAAGATTACCTGGCGTATCGTAAGCTGAAAGGACAGTTTGTATTGAGTATATATAGTAAAAAAAGTTTCAATGATTAAAAATGCCTTACGGTATCGAGTTCAGGGAGACATCGGCACCGTTTCCGTGCCCATTTCGGAAGACAGCAGCAAACTAAATCAAACACGGGAATCAGAAGGTCTGGGTCAACTGGTGGTTGGTCTGTAATGATTCGATACATCAAGTAACATCAGCATTGAATATAACTAGACAAAACGGAACACATATTTATAAATGATTATAGTGATGATGATGATGATGATGATGATGATGATGATGATGATGATGATGATGATGATGATGATGAAGAAGAAAAGAAGATGATGATGATGAGGATGATGATTAATTTCTATATTCCTCCAAACTGAAGAGTTACATACATATGGACAGAAAAAGAAACATATATAAGGTAGACATGTTATTTCAAAACATGTGTGCAAATGTTTGCTCATCCTGATTTTACGATACTGTGCTACATATATGTGTTGTTTACGTACACGAACTCGTGCTTGAAGTGTGTTACTAGTATAGCCGATGTAAAATTCCCAGCAACTCGAACAAGTTATAACATACAGTATTTGTTTTGTGTAATATGCCATGTTAGAGGTTACAGTATATCTAGTAGGGAAAGTGTTTCATCAAAACATCCGAAAGGGCCTGTTTCCAGTAATGTTAATTCTCCATAGGAGCCTGCCCCCGTATAATTTCTTATCTAGCCCAACTACTGTTTTTTTCTTTTCCGAAAAATAATTTTACACCTTTCCGACACCCAGATTTCATAATTTCAATGAAAATGTATTTTCATAAAGTTGTCAATTACAGCATCAAAGACATAAGTTCGTAAATAAAAGAAGGTTTTCTCGATATTGTAATTCGCAACATAGTGTAAATTTCTTTTGATAAATATTTCCAACACATCGTGTTTATTCATAAAACATAAAAAAATATTCTCGGATGAAAATGCACTTGCAGAGACACAATTATGAAGAAAAATGCCACAAATTTGCAATTTTCTCCCGTTATATAGTTTTGGATGAAAGTTTCCATCAGAAAATCGGATAGAGCTTTACTTGTTTCATATGTGTACCAAAAAGCAGCTAATTCCATGTGGTGGAACGTTCTCATATCGCCGCCTGAATGTGGTTGAAAATTGAAAGAAAAGGGGAAATTAGTAACAACCTTGTCTGAAACCCTATTATATAGCTTATTATATACAAACTTTTATATTGAATATCAGAGCGGATATTTTCATGACAGTTTTATGATGTGTAAAAAAAAAAAAAAAAAAAAGCACTGTTTCCCCGTCTCGATCTTGATTACTTGAGAACCATTACGTGTGGAACGTATCAGATATCTCTGGCTCCTGGTTACATCGCCGAACATTTAAGTGATGACGGCGACTATGAGGTGTGGCTTTACCAGCACTCCCCAGACCTTCTCCGATGTCAAATACATTCTCGACACAAAAGCCAAACGAAATATAACGTTTGGATACGGTTCACCGTTTCACCCGATGTTGAGGCCCCAATAAAGGACTACTACTGCCAGTGCCCAGTTGGAGAGAGAACGATGGGAATGTGTGCGCACATCTCCAGTATCTTGTACTACCTTGGGTATTACAAGACGCTGGAAAACCCTCGACCATTACAACCACAGGTAAAGAAATTCCGACAAAACTTGAAATAGTTTTCCATGCGGCAACAGAGTGCATATGTCGAAAGTATGTTTGGGGCTCGATATGAAAGATCCCCGTTACCATGTGACTAACCAAACTTATAAATATAGGTATTATACAATCGCCGGTAGCTATGAACAATCCCGTAAATGCGAAAACCAACCATAATCATAAGGAACACGTTTTGTTTGTTGTTCTGTCTATTTGTCAGCCAATGTCTTCAACCACGGGGACTTGCGAAGTAGCCATCTTGGATTTTTTTTATATCAGTGTACATATTCTCAACATACCGAGCAAATACTCTCGTTTTTTTGTTAATTATCTAAAGAAAGTCGAAAATCGGCAATTCAACCATAGGCTAATTCAACCCAACATTTGAAAATGTTCCACCACTTACATTTTGATGATTTTTCCTCTCATCAACGTACTATTTGGTAGGATAAAAATTGGTTTGCATCCAACGCCCATAAAAGGGTGTATTCTTTAAAAAACACAGTTTTTGTGTGTAAAATGTTATCATCGAAAATGGCATTTTTGAGATTGTTTCTTCCATAAAACAGCCAAATGGCGCGATGGAAACATGATTTTTTTGTCACAATCATGCCATGAATGCATTCGTTACGGTGACTATCATTTGATTAGATTTTCATTAATATTTTACATAACATGCACATTTTATCAACACTTAGACAGCTTCTGAAAGGTACAACTTTGAGGAGCCATAAAAAACAAACCAAGTGACCTAAATCTTTATACTTTATAGATTTGTGACCACAACGGCATGGGCAATGCACCACCAACAGGGAATTTGAATCAGAGAAGGGGCCGTTTTGGAAACCGTATTTACTGGATTAATGTATATAAATATATCGCAGGTGCAACTATCCTTAGAATACGTCGTTATATAGACATCTATATATCCTTGTTTGTTTAGTAAACAATGTAATTATCGTTATTACCGCTGATATGGCTATAATAAACGACCTACCTTTGAGGCGACTTACGAGAGCACCGACCAATACGACGATGAGGACACCCAAAGCGCCAAGCCACATGTAGGAGAGGGAATATAATGCATCTAAACCTTGGCTGTAATGAGGCAACATAAGGAAATTGGGTTTAATGTACGGTATACTCCAACGCAAATAAAATCTCCTTCATATCATGAACCAACAGACGTACAATTTACGAATTAACGTACTAGACATTACGGTGTTATATCAGCAACATACGAGTCTCTATGGTGTATGGTATAAAGTATTACGATAAAGAATTTTTGTTGATTATGGGATACAATAGTGTTATGTTAAATGTTATTAAGTGTGCTTTTACCTTTCCAATATTAACGTTTGCATTGACTTTACTTAGCTGTGAGTGTTTCTAAGCGGCAATCAGACAGGAAAACATAGCACTTTACGTGCCTACAACATGCAGGCATTAAGGGAGGTAGGCGGGGCTTATTGCTGAACGGGCCTACAACGTGCAGGCGTTAAGGGAGGTGGGCGGGGCTTATTGCTGAACGTGCCTTCAACATGCAGGCGATACCAGAGGTGGGCCGATCTTGTTTCTAACCGTGCCTAGAACGTGCACACAAAGAGGAGAGCAGAACTTATTATTGAACGGGTCTACAACGTGTAGGAAATACGAGAGGTGGTGAGGTGGGCGGACCTTGTTCTTAAACGTGCTTACAACTTGCTAACGATACGAAATATTGGCGGACCTTGATACTGAACGTGCCTAAAACTACTGGTGACACTTTCCCCTTTAAGTCGTTATAAATAATATTTATTGGTTGATTAATTTTCCCATTACCTTTTTCGAATATTTTCCATATCTTTTCGGTTTGACTCAGAATGATAACACGGTAAGGTAAAGGCATAGTCATTTAATGCAATAATGAAAAGAACAAAGATCCTATATTCGCACGTCAGAAATTAGAAATTTACGTTAATATATTAACTTATCCACAAATGTTCTTGTCCGATCAGAAATCGGATATCACCGTTGTTTTTCATATGCAAAACTACACCTACATATCATTTGGAAAAAATTGTGTGCCCTAAGAGGTTGAAATTTATCAAACAGATAATCTATAAACACACACACACACACACACACACATATACACACACACACCCACTTAAAAATCGCCTTCCATATACGACATTGTACAAGATTCACTTGCCGAGATAAGCACTATTTGAATTCCTAATAAATACTGTCTGAAGTTAGTTCCCTTTAACAAGCATTAGTAAACGTGTTATTTATATTGAATACTTGAATAATTATTCTTGAGAGTTGAATAAATGGTTAAAGTAATTTAACATATGTGTACAATGTGTACATTTCCATTTCAAATGATTACAAAAAAAATGTATAGATATTCTACAAATACAAAAAAATTGCTGTAAACCCCGCTAGTTATTAACCAGTGTATTTATTCGTTATCTTCAACGAACTCGAGAGACAGACACGGCGGCATTTCAGGTACAGCAATATATGAATGCGTATTCTGGTCAGCTGGTATAATAATGATATTAACAAGCAGAGACGGAGCAAAGACAATATGTCCCGCTCTTCGTTTGGGAGATAAGATTAAACTGCATCACACTGAAGGGTCTAAATTCTTGCAACCTAGGAGAAGACTGAGTGAAATCAAATTGGTCGGATGATTGTTAAAAACAAGCTAGGAAGTGTGTTTACTCAGAACCGTACCAATATTCGATTGGATTGAAGATTGACATGCCGGTTACGGCAAACTTCGGTAATTAAATGCCCACTAGCAGTGTTGATGTTTACAGGAACTCTCAAAATGGTACTTAAACTGTAATTGACAGTATCGTTATAATTCGCTTAAGATTACTACTCACGGTAGACTTTCAGTTTCCACAGAAGACGCTGTGATGTTCGTTAGGTACAAAGAGCTACTAATGCTGTCAAAATTAGTGCTGTTCATTTGGATGGAGATATTGGAAGATGGGCAATTATACATCGGAGCTGGTTCTAGTTTAGGGTGTACTCGCACACCCGTAGATACGAATTTTCCTACGGAGATCCATCCAACGAAAAGTACACTAGACAGTCCTCCTACTATCGCTCCCTACAATGTGTCAGGAAAAATAAAATATCACTTATAGTCTTGGGAAATTTGTTTTTGCATTTATCTGTTTCAAACAAATTATCAGTTCGAATGGATAATTCAGATTGCATTGGCCTTCCGACCTTAAATCATCCAGTAATTTGAATATAGAATTAAATATATACTTTCCTACACACATTCACATAAAATGCTACGCTAACATATCTTATTCTGAATGTGACAGATCATAACAGACTATAGCTAGAAAAAAGTGTGACAAGTAAAACTGCAAGCATATACCAAAAGATTATGTATTGCAACCTTCATTTTTCTCAAAATCAGTGCATATGTTATATCCCTCTAATATATATTTTGTGTTTTAGTATCTTTACTACAGTGGAATGAACTGAGATACAGCATACCAATGAATTTGCCCATGGTACAAGGAAGGCAAGAAGAAATACTCCTGTCATTGCCCCCGTTACGCTTGATGACATGACGTTAAAAATCTGAAAAATAAATTACATACGAGTATAAAGCATGAATGAAGATAACAAGAATATTTTCACACAGTGATACTTTGTAACACCCCCATGTATTGCTATCTTTAGAAAGATCTAAATTCATTCATAAAAGCACAACAGGTATTTGTTGATCTTAGTTTACCGAATGATTTGAGTGTGACTTTTATGTGGAATGAGGGTTTTTTTTTAAAAAACTAGAGCTGAAGATATCATGCGTAACATTGTGTCAACATTCCTATCTTAGGATGTCAGAATCAGTTAATCTCGCGATACTTATTATTGTTTTGTTTTATGTACACCAAACCGGCATTATAAAAGACAGTCTTGAGACTTTATGTATATATAGCATATAAATTGAGACTTTATGTACAGAGAGTATATAACTTGAGACTTTATGCATATGTCGTTTATAAATTGAGACTATATATATATATGTTATATATTAAATTGAGACTTTATCTATATGTTATATATTAAATGAGATTTCATATATATGTTGCATATTAAAGAAATCGATATTTGTATACTTAAATGCCCATAAAAACCTCTTTAAACGGAAAAATATATATGTTTTCTGATACATCATTGTGGTATATTTACATGACCGCTGAGGTATTTGAGCGCGAAATATGTGGTGACGACACAGTTAATACAAGTCTTTGATGTGGATCTGGACACTTACTCGTGTTACCGGGCCTTCTAGCTCTGAAACAACAAATGCGACCGAGCAGCCAAGAACGCCGAACATAAACACTGAAAAAGCACAAAAATTACAAAAATATAAACAAACCCGTTTGAATTGATAAATTCTATAAAAATGAGAGTTATTGAAACCTGTTAAAGCCAATGAAAAGTGACTTGGTGACCCGACAGCAGACGTTTTTATGTTTAATTAACAAAAATACAATAATGGGAGTAGGCCCTTGAATATGGTATCATCTGCGGCATGTTAACACTTATACGTTGGCGATGCATGGGTTAGGTGCTATCCTGAAATGGAACATTCACAATAGGGATTTGAAGTCATCACGTTTATCATACAGATTGGTGGAAAACTGTCCACGTTGGTTTCATTACAGGAAAAGATAGAGATAAGCTGCTGATGTAGAGAGTCTTTTATGTCCTTGATTTCCAATTCTGCTGGATATATTAGTCCTACGTATATTTCTTTGTTTGGACTTTGTTTTCACGAAATAAGTTTCAGCATAGTTCACAACTATATACGTTTACACCACTATCCCTTTCGTGGCACTGAAAGCATACATAACAAAAGAACGAATGCATCATTATAGTTTATAGTGGGGTATGGATGTGTAGAGAGTGGAAAAATCAACTGTCATTTTTTTTTAAAGAAGTTGATCAATATTAGTCAAAATTTCTTTAGACATTTAAAAACCAATATACTATTAATTCCATTTTTGAGTGAACAGTATCACAATAGGACTGTTACCAAGACTTGGCAATGCTACGAATGGTAGGTAGTAGTTTTGACAAAAGTTTGGTTGAACAGCTAGACGAACGGCAATAAAACGCTGTCAATATGGATTCTTGTGAAGTTTAGAGAAATCCAATAGAAACGGGGGAGGTCCTTATCATTTAACGGCAATTTAAGTGATTGTAATACCGAAACATGATTAGAATAATACATCCTGACAATAGGAACCCAGAATGTAAAAGCAAAGCTTTCAGTATCATAATGGTGACCTTAATATAGCCAAAATGATATTTCTCCAAAGTAATCATGATGTCGAACAGATCCCCTTCCTATGTTCGAATTAACATTAATATTTTCAGGTAGTGTTTTGTAAACTAGTATCAGTACGAATAGTGAACTTTAAAAAGCAATAAGATATCCCAGTTCTGTTCAGTAATTTACAAAATTTAAAATACAAAATTTATCAAGGGCAAAATAAGGAGAACAAAAATCCCTACTTGAGATCTGAGTGATGATGATCCCCCTCCTCTCAGACATCGGTTTGGTGTGAGGTTTAACAATATCCTCCCAGAACATTGCTGACATGCTGCTCAACAAGGACGACATGGAACTGAAAAGTAGTAAAAATAAACACCAGGTATATTTGAGAACATTAAGTAAGTTAAATTTATACGTTTGCATAAGCTATATGGATATTAGGTAGAATTGTATATATTTGATCGACACTTACTTAATAGAAGATAAGGATTTGTGTTGAAAAGTATGCATTCTTGAACATAACAAAATATAGAATTAATAACAGGATTGTCTTATTTAATTAATATATCCAGGCCATATTATTTGCATACACGTGTAATATAGATTAATGTGACGTCACTTCGATTTATCAAATGATGTCACACATTCATGACAATGTGGCTTAAATAGTGACTATAGATGTAGAAGTATCAGTGTTCTACTATATTTGCTCGAACAATCGATTATGTGATAAAAGCGATCTTAAATGTGTTTCCATTCGAAGTTTGTGATACATGAAACAAATCAATCGTTTTATCTCACCAAATGAGAAATTCACGAGTCAAATTGGAATTTATATAAGCTATATTATCATACGAATAAAATAACATGTACATGTAGTATGATGTATTTCTCTATTACAAGAGCGCGTTTAAAGATATTTAGATGAGAATTTTAGATACCGAATTGGTGCAGATAAATGTGAAATGACAGCCTAACCTTAGGGAGGCACTAAACAAGGCGGCGAAGAAAAGTCCCGGCATGCAAGGCGTGTCATGGAATAAATCTACAACCATAGCTGGCATCAGCTGAAAGATAATATACTTCTAACACTCTCTGATGTGAATGGGTTGAAAACACAAATAGAAATCAGCAGAATGCATAAGATATCTTAAAATATAATTATGTTTTATATGCATGTCATGAATGAATAAATATTGCACATATTTTGTGCCTAATTCACAAAAACACTTTATTGAAATATGCTTTATTGTTTGTTTTCGTTAAACACCATTCAATTTATATATATATATATATATCAACCTGATTCTGATTATCCAATTGTTTCGATTCTAGTGGGTCACAACCTTGATTGTAGTAGTAGCCGAACATAACAGCTCCCTCCAGCACACCCAACCAGGACATCATCATAAGGGAGAAGGCGGTAACAAGATACATACTGAAATAAATAATAGTCTTTTTTTTTTCAAATGCCTTTTCCTATGATAGAAATTGTTTGCCATTTGCAATATTCCTGTCATGTTTTTATTGATTGTTGATTTTCAAACGTTTAATCATATCATTGGTGAAAAGTTCTTGTTCATATTGCGTACATTCTGAATGCTACTTTTCTGTGAGAATAAGTGAATGATGAGTCCTGGAAGGACGAAACAGCTGTATAATGCAGTTTATTGTTTGTTTTTAATAGTGTACAATGTGTACAATCGTGACAATAATACTGCCATACTTCCGGTTATTAAGTTTCTACAGCGATCAAAATGATGTTGAAATATATTTTTTGCATGTATTTTCTCTATGTAATGGCAATTGCTGACACACGTACATAAGTACTTACTTAGATGTTGATTGCAAAGTGGGTGTGGCTTTGATCCGCAGAAATGTGGTTTGCATAAAAACAGTAGAAAAGCCTCTAATAGAACTTCCAATAAGAAGACTCCAAAACGACTGTCTTAACGTTGGGTCAGGATTGAACCTACAATATAAGACTACTGCATTCAACATTTTACTGCTGTTCATGATATCATGATATATGTTATGAAAACAGACATTTCAGAAGTCCTAGAAGGACACAACAGCTGTATGATGCAGTTCAAATAATTTCTGTACGTCTTTTCACAATTGTTCATCTTACGTTGATTCAATTATATTCTGACAGATAACGCGAGACTACAAATAATACAAGTTTGATTGTACTTAGCTGTATACGTCTACAATAGATATGCTTGTTTCATTTAACATCTAGGTACATGTGAACGACTAAATCTTTAGATAAACACTACTGAGAATACCTTACAGGACAGGTAATATTGCGACTTTGATATAAAAAAAGAACTGCAAAAGTAGCAAATTTCTTTACATACAACAAATCCGAATTCATGACATGACGTCATTTTTAACTTGGTAAAAAAAGTGTAACCCTTACAGCGGCGTCAGTAGAACAAAGAACAAAAAACGTACACACAGATATGCGAAATTTTCACTATCTAGCCACACAATTCCGAAACACAACCTTTTTGCTGCTTCATGTATCATCTGATAATATCAAAGTCCGGTTTAATAAGAGGTACAATGTATGGTTTGCCTTATTATTGTGAACAATAAAACAGGAAATATGGCTTACTCGAACAAGTTGACTCTGCCCGTATCGTATACAGCACTCCATGTAGCAGTCACTCCTCCCGCCGCTATTGTACCCTACGGTGAATGACATCAATTATATATCTGATGATGTAAACCCTATTAGAAACAACATCACAATATTACTCTTATGCTTGTGATAAATTATTGTTAGAATGCACTTCAGTAAAATATGTTGGTAAAATGGCCATTGTGCAAGATATTGTTTATTTCAATATAGCTTCTAAACCCATCATTTATCTTGTGTATTCTACTGCATTGAGTTGTTTTATATCATTTAATAACATACCTGATATAGAGGTAAACATGAGAGTATTATATAGAACCAAATTACACCCTGTCTCTTTTTGTTAGAGAAACGACAAAAGGAAAAAGAGTCTCATATCAAATACACATGTCACTATGACCAACACTAAAAACATAAGCGACAACGTCTTGGCAACTAGATAATTATCTGAGGACCACAGGTTTAACATTATTTTCGCAGTAAGGAAACTATGTACCTACGAGAGACTAATACACTTCCGAAATACTCAAATAAATGCAAATGTTTATTCACATGTAGAAATAAAATGTCTTTGTTTGATGTTATCATCTCATGGATAGAACAACCGTGATACATATCATCCAATTAAAATGTTGTCATGACGACTTCAGCAAAGGTTGTCCAGATAGATATTTCATTGATGCATTATTCCTGCTACCTACCTTGATAAGTACAGCAAGTATTCCAATTAACATGACCATGGTTTGTATAACGTCCGACCAGATGACAGCCTTGAATCCACCCTGAAGTCGAGGAGATACTTCTGTTAGATCTACATGATAAATGTAGGTTAAATTTTCTTTTGTAATAGATATGGTCTATAATATTAAATTATGTAGTTTCAATTAACAGTGAGCATTAATAGTGTGGCTGTGGAAGCTAGTGACTTACTATCAGGGTATACACCAAGACTACGACCTGAAGAACCACGATGGATATCCACGTTGGAATACCTCCCACTGAAAAGGTAGGAAGTTTGGAATAGGAAATACAGCGCCAGTGTCATCACACAATTAGGTTATCACAACTGAATGAATACAATAAAACAATTAATTAATTATCTATGTAAAGGTAGAACAGAAATCAATTGCTTTAATCAGGAAGTGATATCTGCGTTACATTTTCAGTTGTCGATTGTGAACAGATCTACAAGATATGGTCTAATAACGACGTAAGGCGTCAATATTCGTCCGATATCATGTGCTTTATTTATGTATTAAAACGTCGTTTCAAAATTTCTTTTTGTAGCCTATTTATTTATGTCTTGTCAGACGAAAGACACGGCAAGACCACATTGTTCTTAAAATAAATCTCAACACTGATAGAAAGGCAATTACATTCTAAATTCATATACTAGAGATGTGAATAACAGGCCATAGTTCAAGTAAAACACATCAGATTTAAACACCACAAAAAAACAAAAACAAAAAAAATCAATAAGAGGTATGATCCACTTAGCCTTTATGATATACCAATGGCTATTTTCTGGAACAGAAATCAGTTGGTTTCCTAAACTGATTTTTCATCAAACAAATGGAAATTTCATGTAAAAGTCATGAGGATTATGTAATAACTATCGCATGTTCCTGTCTATAAGAAATTTTATGACCTATTATTGATGTGAACTGTTCTATGGTCGAACATTTCCTTATGATTAAGAATATTAGAAAGACAATATGTATCGTTGTCAACATCCTTAATCATCAACATCCTTATGAAATATTCTCGAAATTGTATTACAAACGTCGCATAGTGCGGCAAATTATTGTAGAAATGAAAGTGTAAAAGAAAAAAGTAGAACGCAATATCAAGTATTTGAATATGGTTTCTTTGTTTATGTTCGATGTTTGAAATTCCGAAAGTATAACTTACCAGCCTCAAGTGATATTGCTGGTAGAAAAAGAACTGTTCCGAAGTAATTTATCTGCAATAAAACATAAAGTATGGTCATTTTTCCTGCTCATTGTGCTGTAAAGATAAATGTACCGGATTTGGTTTCCTACTAAAATCCTATGTGACCTATGACCTAGAATAAGTGCATTGACGGCAACAACACATATCCAGTTCCTAGGATTATGGCTATGGTAGGTCTGTAAAATGAAAATAAAATCTATTGGCTTTTATAATTTCTGACCTATCCAGAATGTATGCATACAGTCGGTGTGGAATCGATCAAAATTGATGCATTAGTTCAACATCAAATATTGACTATGTCAAAAACATTATTTGTACTTTTAGCTTATAAAATTACTGACTATGGAACATTTGATGCATACAGTTTGAACTGAATAAAAACGTCTGTTTAACACTCATCCATTCAAATATGACAATAAAAACCGATCAATTAGCAGTCAGGTCAGAATGCTATGGATTGTGTAATGTACGTGTGTTAGAATTTTTTTTTTACAAATCACTACGGGTTGTCACTGGCTACCTGCCTATGAAGTGACATTATAATAACTCTATCAATCTAATATTTATTTTTTTTCCAGTTTGATTATTATTGCTTTATATCACAACATAAGAAAAAATACACCCTATAAAAAGGCACCTTTATATAAATCCACGTGTCATCATTTCTGTAAATGTTAATCAAATCCTAACAATGGCCTGCACGATTAGTAGAGGTTAGAATATTTGTTTTTTGATGGAAAAACTACTACTTAAACATTTCCTGGGATATTTCCAATGCTTTGTTGCCTTTACGTAGTAGAACAAAGTTTTTACATTGTAATCGTACTTTATATATTACTCTAACTATTTTCCCGTCGATGTTTTTGTGCGTTGATAATGACGTAATAGGATACAAATCCCTAATAAAGCTTGACATTTACGTAGGTCATTTTATATCCTTTAGATAAATTAAATAAAAGTTCAAATCTTGACTGATAAGGACCACTCTTGTTATACATATGTATTCTTGCAGTGAGATGTGAATATTGAAATCATGCTTAAATGATTTGCTTGAATTGCCAAGTTACAAAAATGTGATGTGACAGAGTATCACTTGTCTGTAAAAAATGAACGTGAAATATTAAGTATGTTTGAGCATGAAAAGAAATGACATTTTTGCGATCACATAGACCATGTGCTCAACTTACCCCATAAAACATACCCAACACAGTCGCAAATATTCTGATGCCATGTGACTTAAAACGGAGTTCCAAATACTGAAACGTAACACATATCTGCCAATCACATCAAATGGGAGGGAAATGTAAACTTTAAAAATGCAATTCATGTACTGCTTGAAAAACAATATTTAATAATAATAAATGTACGAAACGTCTGAAACAATATCCCAAACAATACGTATCCTAGGTGCAAAATCCATAGCTAACCACAGATGGAATATCGGGCTTAGAAGAATACACTTATTAATCTAAACGAAGTACATAAACAAATACAGAAACGAGGACTTTTCTCTAGTAGTAGGATCGAAATTTTATCTTTGGAGATAGTTGCCGGTTGCCAAATAGGAATGCAACTGGAAATACGTACCTCATAAATGCTAGTTATTTCCAATTTCCGGATGGCTGGTGCGAATACTTGCCGACATGTCATATCCGCAATGAAGAAGCCAAAATATGATATACCCCACTGCATACCATATATATACACCTCTGCCGGAATTCCCAACATCATGATACCCGACTCGTATGAAACCATCAGTGATATCGCAACCGGTAAAAACGACATTTTTGAATCCCCCATGATGAACGTTTTCGTAGTGTTCATGTTTCTCTTCCGGAGGGATTGAAACAGCCCAACACCAAGGGATAGAATCACAGCTATTGTCAAGACGACGTAATCCTCCCATTTTAGGAAAGTCATGACAATTATTGGTCAGGATTTGCTCGTTGAAATACCTAAAAGAGAAAATTAGTAGATATCTTGCTACCTAAGTATGAAAGAAAATGTAAACAGTCGATAGCCATGATTCCAGAAAAATACATCCGACCTGCTCCTTCATTTAAAACAAGTGTAAATTATATTTTTCGATACATGGATACGTCAAGATTGCGGACGGTGTAAAAACGTCAAATGGTATAAGATACACGGGCACGTCATTGGCAATGAAAGAAACTTTTCAACCACTCACACAAGATGAACACGTGATACCAACATTAGGTAGCTCTGTGTACCTTTTAGAGTCAGAAGTAGAATTAACTGCATCATACAGCTGATTTGTCCTCCTATAGTTCGTCAGTAACGATAGGGCCTAAATTCGAAACCAAGGACTGAAAGAGGAAAAGATGGAGGAGAGGAAACTAATATTGAATGAAGCTATAGCGGGAAGGTAGTTGAGAATCCGGTGTGTCGAAATGGAATATTTCACACCTAGTCGATGTTTGACAAGAAATCAATAGTGTGATTGATTTTCTATTAACTTTGCAAATTTTCATTAAAGTACTTTAGTGGCACGATTTCAGAAAATATATTACGGAATGTATTAAGTTTTGAGTCTCGATTTTTCACAATCGTCCATTGACTTCAAACTTTAGGCGTTTACCAAAACCAAAAAGTCCGAGACAAACGAATCAGCTGTATGATGTAGTTTTATCAATTAACTTGCTTCGTGTATTTAATTCAAAATCTGTTTTAAAGAGAGGGGGGATAATAAAACCTGATTACGTGTGTGTGTCAAGTGCGTTTTGGATATGTCAATTTCGAAATGAATGTTTGGACATTAGCTGCAGTACTTTATTGCTATTTCAGGAAAATGGCGACAACGGGAAGATCTAAGAGATAATACAATACATCTCCATGGTAAAAGAGGTGGTGTTGAGACAGTACCGAAGCATATTCACACTGTCATTTATGCAAGACTTCAAAAAATGTAATGTAGAGTGCTTGCAAAAAAATACCAAACGTTCAACTGTAAACGATGAAATATAATGTTATTCATCATTAAACCAAGAATGATAAAACGAATAGAGAAGTACACGATAAAATGTAAGAATCTTGTTGCTTCCCTGGGAGTTGCATATTAAGCAGGCACTGGAGTTTTTTTTATATAAAAACTGCATTTAAGTCCGAAAACCACATTTGCACTTTAACTCAGAAAGTTAATGTCATTGAGGTCATTGATATTGTTTGTCACAACTTAATCGCGTTTGGCTCGTTCAGCACGAAAAACAACGAGCAAATAATACCATATCAATATAATAAAAAACTTAAACACAAATAAAACTAGGACAAAATACGAAAAAAAGAAAGATGTACATGAAGACTCATGACAAAAATACATAGAGAGGAAGACCAACTGTTTCGGAAGAGTAAGTGTATTTTGCTTCATTGACGACACCCGTCATGTCAACATTGACCATTCCAAGAAAGTAATTCAAACCAAAAGGGCAAACTAACAGGCATCAAACACGTCCAACGCCATATCGCACACAGCAATATAATGTATCACTGTATGACAGAAACGTTTGGATCCCTGTGCTACGATGTTTTGTGTCAAAGGTCGACTTCCTTCACGAAAGTCATGATGATTAGGGTGGGTCGTTAAATATCGAGCTGTTTCACCGGGAACAGTTGGTTGCCTGCAGTAATCAATATGATAAGATGTTCATTTGATATACTTAAAGCCGGGAAATAAAGCATTGCAAACTTTACATTGACATTAAAGATGTGAACTTATAAGATATAAGTTCTAAAAGGCATGGAATTGAGCACTAGCATTACAGTATGGAGATGTTTCAAAAGAGACCATGTGAAAAATGTTTATTTTCGAGTTTGTTCTATTCAATTCAGAATGTTTTGATTTGTTCAAGCTACCTCATTTTAAATACCTGTCGCTTACTAGATGTCTGAATGGCTGCATAGAAAGAGTATCTGCACGTTGTAAACATGCTACATAATACGTTGTGTATACAGACTTTTAATTTATTGTCGGGACACCTGGTTTATTCTCCTTGCGCTTTTGCATGAGCATTTACTTGTAAATCATTATTTTATTAATATTTCGTCCTATTTTTATTGAATTTAAGTTTGGATTATGATTATGTTGACATGTTGGTATTTCCCCGAGGTGTTGCTTGCATGTCCTGATGATTGAAATGAAAGGAAATGCGAACAAAATCACTCATTAGATAGCAACGTACAAAGGGCATACACACGTCGTGACTGTATAAAGTAAATGATCTGTGAAAACCATGTATTCCTGTTCTAGCAGAAAGTGATTCACCGATCAGAAAAGACGTAACGCCCAACGACAGATAAGAATTTATACATGTTCTTGACGCTGTTCTAAAATGATCTAATACATGAAATTACGAAATTATCTTGGTTATTGTGGTGTTGCATTTCCCCATCTAGAATTTTGACTTTTCTTTCGATCACTTGGGATTTTCCTTAGTTGCCTTATAGGTTTCAAAATATAGGTCCTTAGCATCATTGACTAGTACTAGAAGGACGCGACAGCTGTATGATGTAGTTTAACTCAGTATTTTACTCCAATATAATTTACTCTAAACTATTAAATGGCACTATTAACTATGAATGGTAGAGGTCATGGCGGTCCTGCACCCATTGGTTAATGATCATCCTGGTCTTTAGGTTAAAGCCAGTTTGGGTGGTCGTTGTGCAACATAACAGTAAGATACGGCAACCTAAATCATAGGCAGTCAGTGTTGGCATACTTTGGGGTGCGTTGGGTAGTTATTTTATATGACAGGGGTCAAGCACGAACAAGGGGTCAGTTATCCGGATTGGTTGTGAATATAAATGTCACTCATCCATAGATTGACAATTAATATAGAGCAGCTTTAAACTTCAAGTTTCATTACGGAGAATCTTTCTCGTCCATCTTAACCTAGATACGCAGATGAGAGGAGAATTTTCTTACATTCATTTACAGGTATTCATCAAAAGAACAATATTAGGCTTTCCCTTTTGTTGAGCATACAATATTTGAATATTTTTCATGTGCAGATAAATTGGGGGTTGGTGTATGACACTAAGTCAACAAAGATACATATACACCAATGCAAGCACCAACACCATGTGTTATTGTCAGTTTTTTTTTTCAAATCACTAATGCAACGTGAGCCATGAATCTGATATACACACTTGTGTCATTTTTACGTAACCGGTTTTATGTGTGTTAACAGTTGCGATTATAAAGCATCTGATAAAATGAAATAATAAAACGAAGTCACATGGAGAAGTGAAATGTTGAATAAAGTTGTTTTGATATTACAGTTGTAATAAAGATCACGAGATCAAGTATGTGACCTGATGTCAGAGATATATGGTGCATGTTCACAAAAGAACGTCGTACACATGAATGCATGAACGCCTACCTACAGCACTTTATATACGCAAATGTGTTAGCCATTCTAAAATTTAGATGTTTAAAAGATCTAATCTGAAAGAAATTAGGGTAGTGTATAGCGGAATCGTAAATATTCTATCTCTGTATAAGGAAAGCTGTTGCATAACAGTGTCGTTTTTAATGTGCAGGTGGAAGTGTTTAATGCTCGTTTATGTGCCTATTGCATGCCTGGTGTAGTATATAAAGCAAGAGACGCTTACGCTTCCTGAACATCTGGTCTTATTCTCCTTGTACTTTTCAGAAGACATCGTGTAAGCCTTTCTTTTGTTCATATTTTGCCGTAGTTTCTTTAAATCAGAATTTGGATTATGATTGTATTTTCTATGTTTTTATGATATGTTTATGGTTTTATGAAAAGCAAAATTTTAAACACATCGTGAATTTCATGCGCCATTCATTGAAAAAGCATTCGTTTGGATGTAGGATTGTTATGCAACAATACAAAGGTAACACAACAGTCATATGATATGTGATTACTTGACAGAATATGGAGTTAAGAGGAGCTGTGACCCCGCATTCACATGCGTTGTAAGCTCTAAATCGACAAGTTGGCCAGGTAAACATGATACGGATGGTTGAACACGACCCTGCCGCCACACTATAAGGAACACTGTTTTAGTCCTAACATTCCAACAACTTTATTACATTCTGGGATACAGAATACAAAGGATCTATGAATGCTTCCACCATTTGTCAGCCCAACAATATACAATTCGGGTAAGGTTAATAAATATCTCATACCTATATCACTAGATGTTCTTAAGCTAAACTATATCCGAGTGAATGTATCAAACAAGCAGACACATTTACTATTAAGATTGTATAAAATACACAGAAGTGAAGTGAACATTCTAATTTAAATACAAAGAATAAGATACAGTAGAGTGAAGCAATGAATTAAATAACATCGTACAACTATATTTTCTTCAGTGATTCTAAGGTCCCAAATTTTGAGGAGTGGGAGGCGGCTGAGAAAAGTAAACAATGATCAACAGAAATGCCGAAATCTACATGGGGAGGTGCACAAACTTCGATATCTAATAAATATATTAAGAAGGTAAGTTTATACAGGTTGTATCGCTGCGAAATGAAACAAATTGTACTAAAACTACAAATGTACTCAAACACAGTTATTGCAAGATATTGAACATCGTTTTCTCTCATATCATAATATATAACAGACGTCAGCGGAAAAAAAAATATCTCGCCCTTTTATCATTTTAAAGACCTGATTTTTAATATGACGATGATGTAATTTTAAGTACCTAAAGAAATCAACATATTTGAATTATTTATCGACAATTTCTAAATGCATACATGTATGTGTCTATCAGTTTCGCTGTCTTGTTCATATAAAATCTTATATATTGAAACGCTTACAATTAGATAAGAGTAAAGTGTCCTATGAAACATCTAAAAATGAATTGAAAAAAAAATGTAGATCTCAGCACTAAAACATTTAATCTACTTGTTTTTATTAATTTTAACATACATTTAGTGACATAAAACATAAGAAAGTACGTCGACCAACTTACTTGCAGTTGTTTCCCGTCCCTGGTCCCTTCAGATAAGACCTGCTTTTCACGAGAAACGATATATGTATATCAGTAGCTTCACCCTTCGCTGGTCTTCTCAGGTAGGGTTTATTTTTTCAAAACGACCACGTAGTATGCATATATAAACTGGGTAACCTCCTCTCGCATCAGCCAATTAGAGGGAAACCATTGATTGTGTTATTGGATTTACGTGTCTAAGATATTTCCAGCTATGTTTATATGCTATTCACAGTCGATTTCCATTGTGCAGTTTGACCACTTCTTTCATTTGGGAAACCCCTTGTAAATTCAGCATTGGTAACGTTACATACTAATTTTCAAAACGAGGCAGTTCAATCTTATAAACATGAAAACATGAAGGTGGGCAGAAGTAAAATCCCGTTTTTCAACAACGGATTTTGTTATAGGTTTGCCAAATCTTATTTAAAAACTCGAAGTCAATTTAGAATTACAGAATAAGTGACATTAATAAAACATCTCTGTCAACACCGATTTAAGCGGGAGGGCATTTTTGTTTACAGGCGACGGTGTTTTGAGCACACGAGTTAGGAAATAAGAGAGCAAATGTGTTTTTTAAAGTTTTAGAGTGCCAGATAGCCTTTCAAAGGAAATCTGAGTGCTTTTTCTTAAGTACCTGATTAAATGCATTAATTTCAAAGGAGGAGTATTTTACAAACATTACATATGTAATTAAAAGGAACATTCCATTAAAAAAGCAATGCATATCAGTAATGAAATTAATTTGGAAACATACAGAAAATAGATACATCATGTATAAATCTCTATGCACCGGAATTCAAAATTGAAAAGTTTAAGAACTGTGAGTTTTTTAAGGACTTGTACAACTTTTCCCTAATTTACAGCACATAACTATTTCGAGTACATGAGTAATAACTGAAAGGTGCATTGTACAACCATTAAAGAAGTAATTTAAACGTTTAAAAACGTCTGCTTAACGTTATAAAAATTAGATCAAGATGGGCTGGATTTTTCTCTCTCATTCTGACTCCTAAAGTTCCACATAGTCACCAAGTAGAAATCGAGAATAAAGGGATGCAGTGTCAAAGTTAATCACAACACTATCATAACCTGATGATTTCTGTTTATTTTAGGAAAAGCAATTCAAACCTTGTATATCACACACTACCAGCTTTTCGTGTGGTTTTTCGGTTATCGCCGTTACATGTATCATAGTAAGTCAATAAGGATTCGTATGACAAATTTACAGATAATTATCACAGTTATAAAATCATACAATAACCTCGGCCCGAGGAGTTTCAATCAATATAGAAAATGAAAACTATTGATCACACCAAAACGTGAGGCTTTTGATTATTATAGTACAGCATGTAGATATTTTCAATATAGAAGAAAAATAAATAATATGTAAATCACAACATAACTTTTCTTTTTTTTTTTAAATCTTTAACCATTTCAATAACATATATTTGAAATAGATATATGTAAATCACAATGCAATAATCAAGGTTATAAAATATTTCAATTGTCAAAGATGAACCTACTGTAAATCAACAAGTGTTTTGTTGTAACAGATTCTTATCACAGCTATGAAATATTAGCATCATCTCTTCCGGAGTTTTGTTATTATTATCTTTATATCTTTTATTACTTTGCCTGTTGGTTCCGTTGTTCTATGCCTTATCTTATTTATTTTCATTTGAGAACCTGACATTACTTACATGCATTGACCAAGGTTTAAATGGCGAGTGTCGTCGGTGAATCGGAAGATGCTTACTTTTCTGGAACACCTGGTCTTATTATCCTTGTACTTTTTCGGAAGTGTCCAAGTAAATCTTTCTTTTGTTCATATTTGGCCTGGCCTAGTTTTATGGAATTCGAGTTCGAATTATGATTATGTTGCCATGTTGAATTTTTTTTTGATTTTTTTTTCGGTATAAACCATCTCTTCCTGAAAATTTTTGCTTGCAAAATTATAGTTGTGTTGTTTGCACTTTAGAACTTGTGAGATGATATGGTAATCTCTGAAACACTGTGATTTCCTTCTCCTCCTCATAAGTTTCAACAACAGGGGACGGGGACTGTGGAAACTCCATTAAATCTTTTTCATTAACTGGTACTAGCACAACTTTTTGTAACTGTAATTCTTCTACCTCTGACTTGAGCTGTGTTTTATCCTCTGTATTGATCTTTACATATACAATAATAAGAAAAAAAAACAAGACAAGCAAACATTTAATTCTCAATCTGGCATGTTGTACGTTACAGCACCATTTCAATTGAAAAATAAATCAAACAATTATTTTGTGGATTTATCAACGTAAAACGTATCATTTTTCAAGTTTAAAAAGTCATCCTATTCCTAGCTCTTGTTTTTTACGGTTGAAATAAGGAGTAACACTTTGAAAACATATTCACAATTTTGTTATATTTACATTTTTTCATGATTCAAATAAAAAGTCGAAAAAATTTAGAGTTCAGATATTCAAATTAGTATACAAAGTGTTAAACATTTCACACACTTACAAAGGTTCGCGTCTTGTGGTAGATTATATGAGCCCTGTGACGTAGATTCAAACTTTATAGACACAAGAGCAACAGTAACAAGTATCAACATGAAAGACAAAACATGTACATGTAACTTTTTTCTTTTTTAAGTTTTCAACGCACATGATAAAATGATAATCTAGGTAAACTGTGGGGAAAATTAACATAAACTTTTCGTAGCTAATTTGTGGAAATAAAACTTCTAAAAAACGAGGAAAAGTAATGCGACAAGATATGAATTTTGGAAAAAAAATTGAAAAAGACCAAAATATTCCAATAAAAAACTATCATTACAGTACAAAATTTTAATAACAGGTGTACTTCCATTCGAAAAAAATAAGAGATAAAATTCATAGAACGGAAAGATGGTGATATAAGCAAAGTAGCTTAAAATTATTGACGTGCTAAAACTTAAACTGAGCACGGGGTATGAGAAGCATAGATATATACTATAGAAAATTGATCTTAAATCACTATCAATTTAAAAAAAAAAATTGTGCTGAAAACTAGACTCTCATTTCAATATATAAAAGGGATTAAAATGTTCAAATATCGTGGAACCCAAGTCAAGAAGTGGGTTTAAGATGTTGGCAATCAGTCGGGAATTATTGGGAGAAAAAGGTAAAGCAATTTTAACATTGAGTATAGGGCCATATATCAGCCCGGTAGTACCTACAGAAATAGGTCTGCTTCGTCGAACACTTTATCGTTACATTAACCTGATATACCAATCGTTGTATCCTCCTCCCATCTCAGAAGTGGTTGTGCCATCTCCTGACTCTGTGGTGGCGGTAACCCCTCCGGTCACAGAGGTGGCTGTGCCCTCTTTTGACTCTGTGGTGGCGGTACCCTCTCCTGTCACAGAGGTGGCTGTGCCCTCTCCTGACTCTGTGGTGGCGGTAACCCCTCCGGTCACAGAGGTGGCTGTGCCCTCTTTTGACTCTGTGGTGGCGGTAACCCTTCCTGTCAAAGAGGTGGTTGTGCCCTCTCCTGACTCTGTGGTGGCGGTACCCTCTCCTGTAACAGAGGTGGTTGTGCCCTCTCCTAACTCTGTGGTGGTGGGAACCCCTCCTGTCACAGGGGTGCTTGTGTCCTCTCCTGACTCTGTGGTGGTTGGAACTCCTCCTGTCACAGAGGTGGTTGTGCCCTCTCCTGAGTCTGTGGTGGTGGGAACCCCTCCTGTCACAGAGGTGGTGGGAACCCCTCCTGTCACAGAGGTGGCTGTGCCCTCTCCTGACTCTGTGGTGGTGGGAACCCCTCCGGTCACAGAGGTGGCTGTGCCCTCTCCTGACTCTGTGGTGGTGGGAACCCCTCCTGTCACAGAGGTGGCTGTACCCTCTCCGGACTCTGTGGTGGCGGTAACCCCTTCTGTCACAGAGGTGGTTGTGCCCTCTTCTGACTCTGTGGTGGCGGTAACCCCTCCTGTCACAGAGGTGGTTGTGCCCTCTTATGACTCTGTGGTGGCGGTACCCTCTTCTGTCACAGAGGTGGTTGTGCCCTCTCCTGACTCTGTGGTGGTGGGAACCCCTCCTGTCACAGAGGTGGCTGTGCCCTCTCCTGACTCTGTGGTCGCGGTAACCCCTTCTGTCACAGAGGTGGTTGTGCCCTCTTCTGACTCTGTGTTGGCGGTACCCTCTCCTGTCACAGAGGTGGTTGTGCCCTCTCCTGACTCTGTGGTGGCGGTACCCTCTCCTGTCACAGAAGTGGTTGTGCCCTCTCCTGACTCTGTGGTGGTGGGAACCCCTCCTGTCACAGAGGTGGTTGTGCCCTCTCCTGACTCTGTGGTGGTGGGAACCCCTCCTGTCACAGAGGTGGTTGTGCCCTCTCCTGACTCTGTGGTGGTGGGAACCCCTCCTGTCACAGAGGTGGTTGTGCCATCTCCTGACTCTGTGGTGTCGGTACCCTCTCCTGTCACAGAGGTGGTTGTGCCACTCCGGGTTCTGTGGTGACATAAACGATATATCCCCCATTATATAATAGTATGTTGGCCTGGAAAATACTGTTATACTTTATTATCAATTCATTTCTAAAATTAATTTCTTAAATCTGAAAACCTTGCGTTACACATGACTTTATTAATATTTTAAGTATAACCGTTCCTATGAATTATATCTTATTAAGAGCTGACACAGATAGTTTAATATTGCTAAAAAAGGAGATTACGCGTGATAAGATATGTAAAGTGTCACTTAAACGAGGTCAACATTATAGTTGCAAAACCTTTAGATAGTAATCACAGGTAAACAAAGTGTAATTATTTCAGTAATTGATACAATCGATGACCTTTCTGAGTCTCCCTAGGATCATATTTTCATTGAGGAATATAATTATGGGTTCGATGCAGCTTATGGTTATCAGTTGCGGCAATACGTTATAGATTTGAATAAAAAAATATTGTTATTATTTGATAGTGTGATTTGATCTTATCTATCCGATATAAAAAAAATGAAACATAGTTTGTTTTGTTAAGATTCAATATGAACTGTAAGCAAAACGAACTGCCTTCTATTATCAATATTAGTTTGCGTAAATACTGAATTTACACATGCTGATACCTACTGTGTATTGGCCTATGATGAGATCGTTGTCATCGGAGGCGTCATATTTCCTGAGGTGAAACGTGAACGTCCAATCTTTGATCATCACAACCGGCTGATCTAGTTGTGATCCTCCAAAGAGAGAGACGTTTTTCCTCTTTCATGTCTACTTTCGTTCTACTTGTGTAGATGTATTGATTAGTTTTGTAGGTTAATTTTGTACAATGCCAGGTTAGTCTTAGTAGATCCAATAGCAGTCCTAGCGCAGGAATTCTAACTCGTTTTTTATATCGAAAAGAATGTGAAACATTTCATATTAGTCACGTGGTTTAAAAAGAATCCTATTGAAATGTTTTTATCGCTAGTCGCACGAGTTTTGTTTATAAACGAAATATCTATCGTTTCCTAGTTGTCATTTTCGTATAGAACTGCGGTGATAAATGACTGAAAAAATTATTTAGTTATGTGCCAAAGTGAGTATAATTTTAAGATGGCCGCCATTATTATTTATCATGAACTTTGATTTATAAAATCATGATAGATAATACATTTTCGAACAAATTACGTACCTAGTACTTTGTTATGCTTCCTTTATCCTTTACAGCCTTTAGACGTTTTGGTATCGATTTATAGGTTTCAAATGTAGTAGTAAGTGTATTTCTGTCTACACGTGTTGAATGGCATCCTCTGAAATAGCCAAGTGATCTCATGCACGAGTTGCTGTACTTCATGTTTGATGTAATGCCATACATTTTCATATCAGGACTCTTGGCTGGCCATTTCATGGTGTTGATGTCATTTTCTTCCGTAAATGTCTAAACTAGACGACTCCTGTGCACGGATACATTATAATATGTAGTTATCGTCGGGATAAAGACGAGCATTTACAGGTCATAGACAATTTAAAAGTATTTCTATATACTTTTAAGCATTGTTTTTGCCAGTAACATCAGTGAGGGTTGACACACCATGGCATGTAATACAACCCATACCATGAAACTTAGACGTACCTCTCGGCCGGGAACTAGACAAGCAGGAGTCCATTCCTCACCTGGTCGTCGCCACACCATAACACAATTACTTGATTTCAATTTTGAATATAGATCTCTTTTTTTCAAAATTCTTCAACAGTTTTGTACCTACTCGTTTTGCTCCATGCCAGACTTTTTAATGTTAATATCACGAATTCTAATGGCCATCCTGACAATACGCTTATGAAAATATTCTTCATGTAGAGATCGCTTTCTATCAGCTTTAACAATATCCCGAAGTTTACGGGTATCCCGACTTAAAATCAAATTTGGCCGACCTGGTCGTCTGGCTTTTTCTGTCGATCAACCCTATTTAAAGATTTGAATAACACGATAAATAGTTTATTTATGATGCCCTGTTTTCTCCGCCATCTTTTTCTTTCCGATTCCGGCTTGAAACATTGAACAATTACACGCCTTTCCGCCAGAAACAGACCCTTCTGATTTTTGGCCATGATAGAGCCAACATGAACAAAGCAGACGACTGTATACTTCCGGTGACGTACCAATATGACCTCTGATTTTAGAAACTCGAATGGGTGTAAGAAGAGCGATAACTCTTACTGACATGAACAGAAACAATCGAACGAACATTAACAATGAACACGGAAGTGTAATAACGTCGGGAAAATTATACTCAATTTTGGCACGTATCTGTATATCTAACTTTGATGTCTTTCCTAGTGGACAGTTCGTAAAAAGAATACTAGTTATGGAAGATAAATTTGGAATAGGTGTTCGCTAATTTAAATGATGCAAAAATGAAATCATATAGTTTATGTCTGCACAGCACCATGCCTACTCAAGTGAAGTATCAAGACCACGCCCATTTCTTACACTTACTGGACGTGGTTTGAATCCTATACGTTACATAACGCGTTTTCTTACTTGTGTATAAATTGGGGGTAAAATCCATTGAACCTCGTAATAGATCATGGAAGGGGACATTTCTTTTGGAGATGTTCGCGTTGTCGAGTTTGCAAAACATGGAACGAAACGACAATATGTATATATATATATAATGAATAACATAATAATAATAAAACCGGTAGTAGAATCAACAAGTTTTTGATGGTTTCGACCAACAACTGGAATGGTGAAAATTGTATATATCTCAAACACAAAGATTGCTACATTTTCTTAAGTGGAAGGAATGATCACAATTAAATACAATGATGTGTCTCATTTAGAAGCAACTATACTTATTTAATGTAAGTAATATCTATCTGTCTTTGTTAACGTATATTTAGAAGCGAAAGCATAAAATCTGGTCTATCGAAATGTGTTTTATTACAGTTGGATCAACAGCAAAGACAACCGGAGTGACAACAGTCGCAGTAACAACAGCGACAACAGCGATAACAGCCACAGCAACAACAACCACAACAGCCGCCGCCAGCAGCGACAACCACAACAGCCGCAATAACAGCAACGACAACAGTCACAACAGCAACAACGACAACAACCACAGCGGTAACAACAATGTATTGATGACTGGGAGGAATTGCAGATTTTCTTTTAATTTACCCCTAATAGAATTGACAACAAAAGATGTCACTTTTTGTACGCATTGATATTATCAAATGCATTGCAGATGGACACCTTTTTTGAAACAGCTTAGATTATTAATGACAGCATACATATTATGATCAATTAATACATCAAAGTTACAATGTCTACTCCATTTGTCATAAATCTTTTCTAACAAGTCCTACACTTAGATAAAAAGAATGATTCTAAATCAACCCTTACTCATTGTTTGACTCGAATCTATAATGACCTATGGCGACCGTATTGTAGAAATTAGAAGGGTCCAGCTCTTGTCATCCAAAGGCGATGAGCCAGATTTGTTGATAATATACAAGTGTACTCACTTTTTTTCAAATCTGTTTGTATTCATCAGGCACATTTTAGTTTGTTTTTGAAATAAGCATTCTCTAAACACCTCATGACGTAAGTTACGTTTGATGGTAGCTTTGACAATGCCTTTTGCTGCCTGTTTTTCATTGAAAGTGTTCAAAATAACTGAAAACTTGTCAAAGATTTTCTCTTGCTTTGAATGGAACTGTACATTATTGCTCTTAATCTACCGAACTATTTGATGGGCTGGCTTCCAGTCTCGTCTTTGATATATCCAGGTAAATTTATGACTTGTATCATGACATGACTGATCTACAAGATAATTTGACAAATCGAACAAATGTTTGTCTTGATGCATGTCATCAGAATTGTCTTCACTTTGAACGTGATAGCCAAATAAATCTATATCGATACAATAACTGTATCCTGTCTCCATATTCCAGGTTACAGGAAGCACTTACAGAGATCTAATATGACGTATTAGGGTTCATTTATCAACAGTTTGGTCTCCGTGTGTACGAGCCTAGTGTCGACTCTAGACCGCACGCTATCCAGTGCTTTTCCAAAAACGGAATATTTCATTTACATTAAAAACATTTCTCGAAGTCGTTTTTACAAAACGTTTTCAAATGTTTTCATTTTTATATACAGACTCAACCAAGCATATTGTCAAAATTCTAAGATTCGATGAATTTTGACGTATGTCCTACCTAGTTCCATGTACAATTGTAAATACCGAACATGGCAGATGTACTTGTATTCTAACGTCGGAACGTTTTTTTTTTTTTTCAGATTTGACGCCACGCGTATTTTCGTTCTAGTTTGTTTAACGCTTGGGTTAAGTTCGAAAAGGTTTTTCTTTCTGGAGCTAACGGATAATCTGAATATAAATCGGGTAGATTGTCATATATATTCTAAATGAATCTCAAACACGTAAACTAAGTCGCCATCTTTGGAAAATTATCCACATCAAACTTTGTGACGTCGTCTACCCATTTGAAATGGCCTACTGGTAAAGGTTCGGACATGACATTTCCGTAAAGGTTTTTACAATCGGTGTACATAATGTAGGAAGTCGATACAGAATGGTCGAATGTTTTGAGAATATAAGAACTTTGTTTTTGCAAATTTCTTTGAAATCATCATGCCAAATCTCGCACAATATTCGAAAAATGGTACATTTCCAAATCGATCAGTTATTCCAGTTGAACGCCCGTCATTTTAAAGGCAGTCAGCCAACAATGCCAGTCCGTGTATACAAATAAGCAGCAACTAATCTATAGAAATCTAAACAGGTTAAGATTGTTTCAGTTTTTATCTCTTTTGTCTTTGTGGAATTCATTCGAAATCTGTGATAATCCTTCATCGAATTGCTCCACGCCTCGTTTTGTATTCTGTGTATCAGCATTTTCCTTTCCACGTGCCACCTTCTGATTATATATATTATCCATTTCCCTACGTTATAAACGTACACCGTTGAGACGTTCATGATAAAAAAAGATATTGTTAAAGTATAATCTT